ACACATGAGATCCCAAACCAGGTAAAAGGACCCCTCACACACATGAGATCCCAAACCAAGTAAAAGGACCCCACACACATAGGAGATCCCAAACCAGGTAAAAGAACCCACACACACATGAGATCCAAAACCAGGTAAAAGAACCCCCCCCACACACACACATGAGATCCCAAACCAGGTAAAAGGACCCACACACATGAGATCCCAAACCAGGTAAAAGGACACACACACACACACACACACACACACACACACACACACACACACACATACAAGATCCCAAACCAGGTAAAAGAACCCTCCCCCCACCCACACACATGAGATCTCAAACCAGGTAAAAGAACCCTCTCACACACTTTTATTATAAAAGACTGTGGTGGAATGCTGAACAAAATTTGTACAGGGTTTGTAACTTAGATAATAGCGTTGTAAAGGTGTAATTTCCTGATTTTTCTCAGTGTTGGAGATAAATTCCAGACCTCTTTCATATAGGTAAGCACTCTCCACTGAGGTATACTCCCAACCTCCTTTTGAGCCTTATAGTATTATCACTAATGCATGGAACAGCATTCTAAAACCTAAGGAATCATTCCTAGCATTAAAGGCCCCTATTTATTCAACTCCTCACATGTTTAAGACTTCTGTTTGTGGTGTGCTGCGAATCAAACTCAGGGTCCGGACCATGCTAAGCAAGTACTTTACTACTGAGTTCCTCCACTCAAGATCCTATAGAGTGAAACTATATAATAACTGTTTCATATAAAACCGAATCTTATTTGGGTAGGGAACAAACACCTATAATCCCAGAATTTTGGAGGTGGAGGAAAGGGTCAGAAATCCAAGGTCATGCTCAGTTATGTAGTGAGTTCTAGGTGAGGCTGGCCTATGTAAGATCCTGTCTCAATAAAATCTCAACAAAACAAAACAAACCCAAAACAACAAGAACAAAAATTAGAGAGATGGCTCAGCAGTTAAGAGCACATGGCACACGCCTCTATTCCCAGCACTCAGGAGGCAGAGGCAGGCGGATCTTTGAGAGTTCAAAGCCAGCCTGGTCTGCAGAGCAACTTCTGGGACAGCCAGGGCTGTTAACACAAAAAAACACTGTCTGGAAAACAAACAAACAAACAGCAGCACATAATGCTCAGCTAAATTCAGTTCCTTAACACCTATATTGTGCAGCTCACAACCTCCTGTAGCTCCAGTTCCAGGGGATTCAGTGCTCTCTTCTGGCAGACAGACAGACAGACAGACACACACACACACACACACACACACACACACACACACACTTAAAATAGATCACCAGAGCCGGGCAGGGGTGGAGCACACCTTTAGTCCCAGCACTAAAGACAGAGCCAGGTGGATCTCTGTGAGTTCAAGGCCAGCCTGTTTTATAGAGATTGAGTTCCAGAACAGCCAAAGCTACACAGAGAAACCTTATCTCAGGGTAGAGGTGTGGAGTCTTTAAAAAGAGAAACCGTATCTCGGAGGTGGAGGTGGTGGTTATGGTCTTTAAAAATAAGTTTAGGACTGGTGAGATGGCTCAGTGTTTACGAGCACTGGCTGCTCTTCCAGAGGACCCAGGTTGAATTTCCAGCACCCACATGGCTGCTCACAACTGTCTGTAACTCCAGTTCCAGGGGATCTGACATCCTTACACAAACATATGTGCAGGCAAAACATCAATGTACATAAAATAAAAATAAATTATTAAAAAGTAGGTTAACTAGTTAATTAATTTAATCAAATCACCTCTTAGCTCCACGTGGTGGTACACTCCTGTAATCCCAGCATTTTGGCGGCAGAGGCAAGAGCATTGTGGGTTCCCAGACAGCCAGGGCTAACAGACATTTTGTTTTGTTTTGTTTGAGACAGGTAGCTCAGATTTTCTTGGAACTCATTATGTAGATCAGGCTAGCCTCAAACTCAGAGATCCTCTGTCTCTGCCCCTCCCTCTGCTGGGGTCAAAGGTGTTCGTTCACCACCTACATTTACTATTTGTTTATTATTTTTAATAACGAGAGATGAGTTTTTTGTATTCTCAATCACAGAAGCTAAGGGTGCAGTAAAACATGCAAGCACACTTAGGGCACAGATGAAAGAATGTAAGATTCGTGTCTCTCCCCTGCCTGCGACTCCTGAGGTTGAGGTTGGTGATGGTGCAGCAAGTTCGACTATTCCCAGGCGGAAGACCCTGTATCATAGGATGAAGAGTGAGAAAAAGCTAGGGCATGCTTTTGAAGATTTCCCGAGATCCGAGATCTGAGGGCAGGAGTCAGCCAGCCCTGTGGAGATCTGGGGAAACAGCATTCCAGACAGAGGGAGGAGCCAGGGCTGTGTTTGCCAGACAGAAAGGAAGCCAGGGATTCTGGGGCCTACAGAAGAGGGAGAGAAGATCAGACCGATGTTGTAGTGGTAAACAAGAGCTAAATTCCCTCAGCTTCTGCAGCCATGGTGAGAGACATAGTCAGATTTCTATTCTAGCCTCTGGCTGCAACATGGAAAACAGATTTTAAGTAGAAGGTGAATGGGGAAGATGAAAAGACTTCTAGAAGGGATAGGTTGGGGCTCAGATCAGTTGGAATCAAGCAGGTGGATTGGAGGGGATCAAGAGGTACTAATTTTTTAATTTTATTTTTATTTTTCAAGACAGGTCTCACTTTGTAGTCCTGGCTAGCCTGAAG